AAAAAAAAAAAAAAAAAAAAGAAAGAATATAACCCCAACTAAAAAAGCAGTCAGCCGTTAACTGTTTGGCTATATAACCATTTCCAATCCATGACTAGCCTGGCAGAATGAACACACTCTTAAATTAGCCCTTAATAAAGTGATCAACATATAAATACTACTGAGATATTTTACTAATTCCTTTCACTGTATGGACAAAGATCCAGAAATGTTTTCAGGTGGCAGCTTAAAGTACGGATGGGTTGAGTATCCATTATCCGAAATGCTTGGGACCAGCAGTGTTTGGGATTTCAGATTATCTTGGATGTTGAGGTATGTGCATATACATGAGATATCTTGGGTCTGAGATCCAAGCCTAAAAACAGAGCTCATTTCTGTGGATGTACACCTTATAAACACACTTGGAAGGTAATGTTATACATCACTGCATTGTAGCATTTTGATTGCAACCCGCCACGTGAGGTCAGGAGTGAAACTTTCCTCTTGTGGCTATCAGGTTGCTGCTCAACAAGTTTAGTATCTGGAAGGATCTCAGATTACAAACTTCTAGCTTAGAGATGTTCAACCTTTATCAAAGATGAGAAAGCTACAAGGGGCCACCATTAAGCACCAGAAGGCTCATATCCAACAAAGGAGTGACCCCTTATGAGTAAGGATGCGATCACTTATTCCCCGCTTACTGCGACAAACTTAGTCCTACTGACTGGTTGACCTGCAGAGGCAGCGCCAGGCCCGGCACGTCAGCAATGAGGACGATGGGAACAGCTCCCTGTGTGGTGCTTCTTGTGTGTCCAGCCACTGCCGTCCCTCACCTAAATCCACATGTTTAGACCTCAGAATAACCCTAGGATGTAGGCTCATTATCACCTGTGTTTAAGAGCACAGGAACTGAGGTGCAGAAGATAAGCAACTCGCTCAAGGCCACAGAGTAGGAAATGTCAGTTCTGAGCTCTCAGTCCACTGGCCTCACTCCAAGATCCCTACTCTTAACCACCTGGGCCCACCCTCCTCTAGATCCCTGCTCACCAGGCCCAGGAGGGGCTTTCTAGCAGACTGGCGCTCCATGGTCCTCCTCTCAAAAGGCTTCTTGGCAGCTGGGAGAGACTCCGGGAAGAAGGTGAAAACCTGGAGCTGCTGCAGGACTCTGCTGTGCTCTTCATGGAAGATGGCGATGAGGTTCCCCTCTCGGTTGGCAGCTTTCAGTAGCTGGAGTCCACAGGAAGGGCCGGGACAGAGGAGAGAAGTAAACACAGATGAGAGCTCCCCGGGCAGATAACGTCTCAGCACAAGCAACTGGAAGCCGAAGCTCCGTGCCCTCTGCAGCACTGCCTGCAGACCCAGCTGGCCAGCAACCCTGGGGGCCGTTCAGAGACGGGTTCCAAAAGCCACGGGTCTCAGCACCACCAGGAATGGAGAACTCCCGAATGGCTGAGCCCAATACGCATTTTATCTATTAGAAGCTTATCTCTCCAACCACTCTGCTGTGCATTCCCAGGAAAGCACCAGGACAGCTTCGCAGAGGACCTTCCCACAGATGGGCAAGAGCTCACCGAGAGCAGCGGCTTTAACTGCTCCAGGGCCTGGTGCACGAAGTCGCAGTGGGCTTCGGCGTAGCCGTGGACGCAGGTGGTGAAGAGGCCCTGGGCGTACTGGTGGAACTTGGGCAGCTCGTCCAACAGCTGGGCGTTCAGGGCCTCGTAGTTGTTCCGGGCTGACTGCAGCTCCTCCAGGGTCTTCTTGTCCTTCAGCTTCTCGGCCCGCTCCGTGCAGTTATAGAAGTCCAGGAGCTTGTCGAAGCGCTTCTGCACCAGCTTGTGCGGCCCCGTGAACATGCTCAGTAACTGGTTGAGGGGAGAGATGACAAGCCGCTCTGTCCTCTCCTTCTGTAGGGACAAGAAAGGCACATCACTAGTCTCCCCTGTTCCTCGTAAGGCTGGTTGTGCTATTCTGTTCCACTGGCTTTGCCCACAGAACACAACCCACGCGGATCCACAACCGTTCCACTGGCTCAAGTAGACTGACCTACATGGTCCGCAGGGGCCTTCTCAGTTCCCAGGTTCCATCCGACAATTCTCTCACGCGAAAGGTTTGCCAAGCATGCTAATTGCACCCAAGTTCCTGAGTTAATAAACGCACGCCACACACACTGCTCTGTGCTTCACAAAGCACACGTGGCAGCTTAACTGCTGTCGCTCACGTGTATATGTCTACACACATGGAGTTGTATGTACATCTGAGGTGGAGGAACTTTCACACATCCCTACTACTGGGCTGTCAGAAAAGGCACGATGCAATTTTGCATAGAAAACCAGAAAAAACACGTCAGGACTTTTCCCGCGACCCAACATTACCAAGTAGTTAAGATTAAAGAAAGCACTGGGTCGTAGGAAAAGTCAGGACGTATTTTTTTTCCTGTTTTTTTCCTATGCAAAACTGCATCATGACTTTTCTAACAACCCCATAGCACCTGTTTTTCTCTTTAATTCTTTTAGAGGACAGGTATTAAGAGCAGGGTATTGAACACAGAGAGAACGGACATGAGGGGCCGGCCCTGCAGCTCAGCAGTTAAGGAAGCTGGATCCCCCAGGGCCCAGCCTGGCCCCCGCAGCTTGAAAACCACACCAGGTATATGGGCACGTGAGTCCCAAATCCTTCTGACAGGAAGGAAGAACGGAGGGAAAATGTGGATTATAACATGACCATGTGCTACTGGAGTGTAGGACCACTCCGGAAATAAAAATGAAATAAGTAAATAAATAGGTTCTCAGTAGTTTCTTTTTTAAAAGACAGATTTTTTGCGATAGGTCATGTGTGCTCGCTGGAAAGATAGAGACAGCGAGAAGGCAGCCTTTGGGGGATGACCATGCCACGATCCCTTCTCCTCCATTCTCCACCCGGGATTTTGGGAATGCATGCACAGGTGCCTGGCGTGAGTTTTAAGCTACCAGGTCTGGGACTTGAACTGCGATTGACTATGTGGTAGTCCAGCAATGTAACCATTACACCATCTGTTGGTCCCAGTACTCAGTAGTTTCTTATTAAAAGTACCTTATTGTCTGAATACCTGTAGGCAACTCAAGTGTGTGTGTCTTCAGCCTCAGCCATCCAGAGAGCCCTGCGAAACGTCCAACCCCATCCATGCCTTCCTGTTCGCCGTCAAACGATCCCATAGCTAGCTATTAAGAATTTCCCAAGCAATTTGGTCTGTGGCATTTTCTTTATAAAGTACTTCGTATGGTCTCAAAGGTCAACTTAGTAACAACTATTCCTAAATATTCCTTTTCTTTTTCCTTTTTAAAAATTTGCTAGAGGGTGTATGTGTTGGGCAGAGAGAGAGGAGCAGGGACAGTGAGAAAGCACTCCCCACGAGGAACAGTCACGCCACAGTCCTCTCTCCTCCATTGCTCCCTCCTGCTGGGATTTGGGACACACATGCACATGTGCTTGGTGTTTTTTAAGTCCCTGGATTCGGGACTTGAACCGTGAGGTCAGCTATGTGGGATCCAGCTCCCTTAGCCACCAAGCCACAGACTGGCCCCCTACACAGTCCTCTGTTGTTTTCATCAGATTAGTTATCAGCAGTGATTCAGGTGAAATCTCCTACTTTTCCTTTCCTAGTTTGTCCTCTGAAACTAAGTGATCACAAGGAACGGAAATATCCGAGTCTGCGCGGGCCCTGGCTGTGTTCCGAGCACAGACCCCGGCGAGGGCACTGAGGACGGCAGGTGCTCCCGCTGCACCCAAGCAGTCTGGGAGGCTGCCTTCTGCGTGCCGCGGCCGGGGTGGGAAGGGGCCGGTCCAGGGAAAGTGGGCCGAAGAGTCACTTACAAAGTGTGTGAAGAGCTGGTCACTGATGTAGCGATGCACCTTCTCGAACTGCTCCAGGTCTCGGTGTCCCCTCTCCACGCACACGTCCCACATGCTCACGGCAGCCACCACTTTCACACACGCCGATTCCTGGGGCGGTGAGGAACACACGTAAGGATGAACAGAGCTTCTCGTGTGGGGCTGTGGGTGTGTGCACGGGCGCACTCTCCAGAGAGCAGGAGGAGAAAGCACCCGCGATGGGGAATGGACACACCACAAGCCCTCCTCCACGTCTCCCTCCTTTTGGGACTTTGTGCGCGCGCACACACACACATGTATCTCAAGCCGCCAGGTCTGGACTTGAATTGCACAGTTAGCCATGTGGGATCTGGCTGCCTTAACCACCAGGCTACAGAGCCGGCCCAATGAACAGAACTTTCTAGCCTTTACCATTCCTCCTATGGAGCAGAATAGTACAAAACAATTTCATAACTAAAATTCTTCTTGTCTAGGATAGTATTTTAGTTTTGAAAGGAATGTATTCTTATGAAAAGAAATATTTAATTTTCTTTATTATTATTATTCTTCAATTTGACCAGAGAGTGACACAGAGTGAGAAAGCAAGCACCAGGTCCAGGACTTGAACTGTGGTTGGCCATATGGGAGTTCAGTGCCTTAACCACCATGCCACCTGCCAGGCCCAAAAATCTAAGACGTTTAATTATAGGAAAAACTTGTGAGGCTTTTATCATCTCTCTGACATTTCGTAATGTCCCTAATATTAGCGTTCCTTCCCTCTTCCTTCCTTCTTTCCGTTTTTAAATTGCCACAGACAGAAGAGGGAGAAACCGCTCCCCGGTGGAATGTGGGCACGCCACTATCCCTCCTCCATGTCTACATCCTGTGGGGACTTCAGACTTGCACGCTCACACGCCGCTGTGTTTATCAGGCTGCAGTGGCTGAGGGTCAGACTGTACTTGGCCAGGTGGGATCCAGCTCCTTAACCACAAGGCCATGAGACTGGTCCTAGGAGGGTCTCTTAATTCACTGCAAAGTAAATTATCACATAGAACCAGGTGAATCCAGCGGGCTTATGAGTATGACCAATCACCTTCCCTCCTCCAAGTCTTGGCTCCACCTTCTCAAAGAGCTGCTTCAGTCACCCCGTCAAGGAGCACGGTGCTCCGACTCTGCACTCCTGTCAGCTCCTGCTCTGCCTTCGTCATCGCAAGAACACCTTCTAACAACAGCGTGATTTACTAACGCTTGCTTACTGTCACTGTCTCCTGTTCCCACCCATCTAATAAAAATCTCAACTCTACGGGAACCAGCAGTTAGCGTGATGGCTATGTCGCTGGACTCCCACGTAGTTGACCGCGGTTCGTGTCCCGGACCCGGTGGCTTAAAACTCACGCCGGGCGCGTGTGCGTGCGTGCCCAAGATCCCGAGAGGAGAATGGAGGAGAAGGGATTGTGGCGTGACTATCCCCCCTGGGGGGTGATTTCTCATTTTCTGTCTCTATGTCTCTGTCTGGCGAGCGCACGCGCCCTACAGTGAAAATCTCTCCAAAAAAAAAAAAAAAAATCTCAGCTCCAGGACAAAGGAAGAGCTTTCTCTTGGTTCTGTCTGCTGACTCCATTTTCACTTGCTGAATCATGAGTGCCCAGGCAGGAAACCTGGCCTGATGGATCATGGCAGTTTTTGAACCCCCAGGCTGGTTTTCTCTGGCTACTTGGCATAACATTGGGCTCTTTCCTTTCTTTTCGTCCCCTCTTTAGCTTGTTAGAGAGAACATGAGTTAGCTAGAGAGAAAGCCGAGAGAGGGAAGGTGAGGAAGCACCCCTCCACAGGCAATGGCCGCATCACAATCCCTTCATTTCTCTTTTTGGGATTTTGGGCATGCACACATGCATCTGGTGTTCTCCTAAGCCACTGGACTCAGGACTTGAACCTCTGTCAGCCACCTTCACTACCTTGCCACCAGCTGGCTTGCTTCTATCTTCGTGACGTTTAGGGAATGCCTATTTTGACATTAATCCAAATAAAATCTACATGTAGGGTCAGATGGCGGTGCAGTGGTGACGGGGCACTCTGTGAGGCTGACCCGCCTGGGAAGATTCTGGTCTCACTTTTGGAGAAGTCCCTGAACATGCGAGGTAAGAGTATGCCAGGGTCTGGAGCTGGTGTGGAAGCTGGGGGCGGGACCTCTCTCTCTCTCTCATAAAAAAAAATGAAATAAAATAAAAAATTAAAAAAAAAAACTTTGAAAAAGAAAATTACTGAAAATTCCATTAGCGGGGGCCAGTAGGTGGCATGGTGGTTAAGGCACTGGACTCCACATGGATGACCATGGTTCGAGTCCAGGATCTGGCAGCTTGCTTTGTGCTCACTCTCTGGTAAGTACATGTGCCCTATAGCAAACAAACAAACAAAAATCATAAAGAGGCCGGCAGGTGGCCTGGTGGTTGAGGCACTGGACTCCCACATAGCCAACTGCAGTTCAAGTCCCAGACCTGACAGCTTGTTTTCTCACTTTCTCTCTCTCTAGTCAAATTAAAATAGTAATAATAAATAAAATTAAATAAATATTTAAAAAGAATCAAATTAAATTATTCTTAAAAAAAAAAGAAAAAAAACCTCCATTAGTCCATTTCTAAGGTAAACACCATCAGTAGCTCACCCACTAGTCTCATATTTTGTCCTGATAACATATTTAGACCTTTAAGTCTTCTATCTACATAGATCAAGGCAGAGCTCTGTCAAAAGAACTGGGGGACTCTTCCTAATTGCTCTCGAGTGGGAGAACGAGTGTGAAATGGGACGTTCTCTTACCTTCTGTGTTGTGAGAGGGCACGTGTACTTACCAGAGGAGGGGGCAGAGGGAGAAACACCCCCACGGGGCCAGTCGTGCTGCAGTCCCACCCCCTACTCCTCCGAACTGTCAGGATTTGGGACACACACAGTATGTCCCACCTCAAAATGCCTCATGTTTTTCAAGCCATGGGGATAAGATTCGAACTGCACAGTCAGCCATACGAGATCTGGCTACCTTAACCACTCAGTCCCAGGGCTGGCCCTCTTGTTCTTTATTTTATTTTTTTTAAGAGATTTTTGCTACAGGGTATGTGCGCTTGCCAGAGAGACAAGAGAGATAAAAAGCAAGAAATCACCCCCCCAGGGGGGATGGCCATGCCACAATCCGCCTGGCGTGAGTTTAAGCCACCGGGTCTGGGACTCGAACCGCAGTCAACTACATGGGAGTCTAGAGACAACCATTACGCCAACTGCTGGTCCCTCTTCTTTTCTTTAAAATAAATGTTGAAAAGCTGCAAACACCAGCCCTCATGCCAATGTGGATGACAAACGACACTGCCAATGTCCCTCAGCTATGTTCTTGCTCGCTCTTCTCTATCACTCGGTCTATGTTTATTATTTGGTGAGGCTCTCCATCTTACGTCAGTGACAAAATTGTTCCACTCTTCCTCTTTCTGTCAGCAGTCAGAACCAAAGGGACGCATCCATCACACGGCCGTCAGGGTTACACATGTCCCACCTCCGCCGCACAGCCTCGGTGTTACACGCGTCCCACGTCCGCCACACGGCCTCGGCGTTACAGGCGTCCCACCGCCGCCC